CACAAAAAACACACACACAAAAAAAACACACACACATAAAAAACACACACACAAAAAAAAAAACACACAAAAAAAACACACACACAAAAAAAAACCACACACACACAAAAACACACACACAAAAAACATACACACAAAAAAACATACAAAAAACACACACACACAAAAAACACACACACACAAAAAACACACACACAAAAAAAACATACACACAAAAAAACACACACACAAAAAACACACACACAAAAAACATACACACACACAAAAAACATACACACAAAAAACACACACAAAAAACACACACACACACACACACAAAAAAGACACACACACACACAAAACACACACAACACATCCCCCCCAGGAAGCAGCCCGTAGTATCTGCTTCTAAATAGGTACTCCCAGGTACCTATTTACTGCTAGGTAACAGGAGGATCAGGGTGAAGGAAACTGCCCATTTGTTTTTCCGGCGGTGTCGGGGAATCGAACCCCGGTTCTTAGGTCCACGAGTCTAGAGCTCTGTCCACTGAGCCACCACCCCACATCATCAATAGTATCACCAGTTGACACGAGCACAGTATCATCAGTTGGTCACAGTTCCCTGATGAGCACTCTCCTGTAGGAGGCTCCTCACATGGGTGTACCAGCCTCCTCACATGGGTGTACCAGCCTCCTCACATGGGTGTACCAGCCTCCTCACATGGGTGTACCAGCCTCCTCACATGGGTGTACCAGCCTCCACACATGGGGGTGTACCAGCCTCCTCACATGGGTGTACCAGCCTCCTCACATGGGTGTACCAGCATGCTCCATACTAATACTGTACCCTCTTCAAGATGCCTACTAAGTTACATAGTCTATTTGTGTGCTCACTTCTTAATGAACACACAACTTAAAAATGTCCTTAGTTGTAGAAATGAATATGCAGTATGGAGGATAATGTGAGTTATGTCTTTCTCCTGGTCATGTGCTTGCACTCTAATGAAATGTTGTAGGGTTTGTACTGGAAAATGTAACGGGGTGTTCTGGTGTGTGGACTCACCATTACATTGTAATGAGTCCTGGTCTGTAGACACTCCATTACACTTTATTGAGGAGTCGTGGTCTGTGGACACTGTTATAGTGGACATTTTCAAGAGGAAACTAGATTTATTCCTTCAAGGAGTGCCGGACCAACCGGGCTGCGGTGGGTATGTGGCCCTGCGGGCCACTCCAAGCAACAGCCTGGTGGACCAAACTCTCACAAGTCAAGCCTGGCCTCAGGCCGGGCTTGGGGAGTAGAAGAACTCCCAGAACCCCATCAACCAGGTATCAACCAGGTACTGTATTTGGGAGTTCAGATTCCAGTCCGCTACATACTGTATTGTCTTCTTGTTGGTTGTAGTGATCAATGTCCCTGCAGCCCAGTCCCTGACCAGGCCTCCTGAGAGGTGATCTGGGCAACTAGGCTGTGGGACACAGCTTCTCTCACCCTAACGTTTTAATTTCATCCTCGTTAATCATTTATCCTTTGGGAGTATTTATCAAGGGATCTCTTTAACACCATGAGAGGTCGGTTAGTTATGCCCCTTATGTGTAGAGGGAGTGTTGAAAAGTCTTGAGGGGCCCTTGATGATGCTAGAATTCTCTCTCAGCATACGTATTGTACCTTTGCTTTTCAACAGGGCTATTTTGCACTTCCTGCCATGCCTCCTGGGGAGTCTTCACCAGGGGAAGTCTTCCCCATTATCAACCCCTGGAGTTTATCCTTTGCCTGCAGCTTGCTTTTAATCAATTTACAGAAACTTCCTGGTTCTGTTCTACATTTACCTTACCTTTTACCTGAGGGCCACTAACACTAGTGGCCTCGACGAAGATAGGAAGCCGGCGGCTTGACGATGGTCCCATCCCCCCCCTCCCCATTTGCCTTGATTTTTTCCAGGTAGATTTTCACACCTAACAGTTTTGGCATATACGGTTTCGGCAGATAGGCGATTCCATGGGTTTATGACCCCTATAAGTGAAAAAGCATCTCCTGTTCTCAGTCCTACTTTGGGGTTTGTTGAGAAGACACTGTCAGGATCAACATCCTCCAACTTGTTCAGTATTTTAACTGTTCCAGTGAGATCCACCCTGTCATGCCTGGTTTGCAATGTTGTTAAGGCTATGGCTCTCAACCGTTCCTGATACGAGAGATGACTTATCTCTGGAATGACTTTTGTTGCCCAGTGTTACACTTTCTCCAAAACTTGTCTATCGTTTTCTCAAGAGTTTCCTTCTACCTCTCTCCTCACTGCCATATAGTTGTTCTCTTACTCTCTTGCAACTTCTGTTGAACCAATCCTATTTTCTAGTTCTGAATCTGTTTTGGTATCATTTTTGTGCATTCATCACATATCTCACAAAATTTAGCATACGTGTAATTTACTTCCTTACTTGTATGTAATTTTGCAATCAGGTAAGTCACTTGAAAACTTGCTTTCACCATATTCTTTTGATTAAATATTGCTTTGGAATCCTTGTTGGTAAATCGGTGCTGCTTTATAATGCTTTCTGAACTTTGACAGTACAGTATGATGGAGGCTTAGTCAGCAATGTTGGATGTTTCCGCTCCGGATGGTCTCGATGCTCACTCTTTTTCAATGACTTATTTATCCCTGCAAAAAACACAATTTAAAGATCACTATTGTTACTTGTTACAAGGTCGTTACATCTTTTCATAAAGTTTTTATGACGTATTAGAAAGTTGTTACACCTTGTTAAATAATTGTTACAGCCTGCTAGGTGTTACAACTTGCTCAAATGTTATAGCATCGTCATAGGTTGGTCGTGTGTTTGGCGAGGTAGCACGGCAGAATATACAACACATGTGGTTTGGTCGTGGGTTTGGCGAGGTAGCACGGCAGAATATACAACACATGTGGTTTGGTGGTGTGTTTGGCAAGGTAGCACGGCAGAGCACATAACGTTGTTTGGTCGTGTGTTTGGCGGGATAGCATATGGTATAAGTTTACTACAATGAATAACTGGTTCACGAACAGTGATATGACTCTAAAACAGAGAACACATTGAGAGTTTCTGTATAATAAGGTGTACGTATAAATATGAATCAGTTGTCACAAAAAATGTGAGTGGCATACAGCCAGCGTGGTACCTCTCCGTCACAGCTAGCAACACACTGCACCATTTACGTCCTGTTTCCATAACACACCAGCCCATCCTCTTAAGGTTCCCAACGTCAAGAAACTGTCGTACTAAAGTGCCGCTATTCTAACCTGCCAGAGGACCCAAAACAGAAAACAGGACAGCATGTCAATTTCGCAAGCCGCTACCATTTTCTAGTGCGACAATTTTTGGCTTTAGGTGGAGTATTCGTCAAAATGCGACGTTCTATTAGAAGGACGGGTTGCAGGACACACCATAAACGGACTGATCACTTTATAGCACTTCTTGTACACTTTTATAGTAAATTCTAATGTGTATTCAACGATTTGATGTTATCGAAAGAAAAGTCACTTCTAACCACTTTTGGGTAATTTACCCAGGTTTGGGGAGCACTGTTCCACATTCTCTTTCAAAGCAAATACTTTGATTTAATTAAAAGACTTGTACGCAGTTTTTTAAGTGATTCATATAAATGGCTATGTTTTACATTAAACAAAAATTTAATGGCATTTCCTTATGCTGTTTAAAAGTAATTATTATCTGTATAAGCTCACATCATTTTTTAATGTTAATAATATAAAAATACTGTGTTGTATAAGTTGCAAATTGTTACACCAAAATGTCAATTATACTCTTAAGTATTTTTTTAAATTGAATATTATAATCCATTGTACGAAGGTAATAAAATCATGACTAAATTTTAGAAATAGAATAATTCTTTGTTCACATGAGAATGTTTCACATGTTAACTCAAGTCACTGGTTTCCAGTTGGTGATGCAGAGGTTGTGATGGCGACCCGGGACTGGTCGGACTCCGAGTCAGTGGCCAGCAGCGTTGCGGCCGCGTCTGAAGTGTCCACGGTGCCTGACAAGTTTGGCTTCTTAGGAGGTGCACAGTACTCGGAGGACTGGTATGTGCCAAACTCTCCAGTCACACACTCACTCTTCTGGTATCAAAATGTGTGCAAAAGAGTGTTCTGTTTTTTACTATACTGTACTGTAATTAAACTAATAATGTTGGGTACAATTTTATAGAAAATAACAAATGTTGAATACAATGGGATTCCAGTTCCAATGGAATGGCTGGTACAAATTTGTCTGATTGGGAGTTGAGTGTACTTTTGCTAACTTTTTGACTTTTTAATTTTTTTTTTTTTAACTTTTTGTAAGTTAAATTTATCCGTAAGATTCTTAACAAAATGTAACCTATGTAGAGTGTCAGAGATTGATACTCATATAAGATTAGGTGTGACTTGTGGTGCATACTGTACATGTTAAGCATTATTGTATGTATCTATACGTACCATTATGTGTACAAAACCGCTATATGAAAGAAACTTTGTGTTAATTTTTTTGGTCCATATTGAAGCTTGATTTCTGATGTTTAGCTTTTCAATAGTGAGGAGACTGTACCGGTCGATGTGATCAGACGACGCGAGAAAAAATGGCTGGAGATGTTCAGCAACTGGGACTCTCACATGCTCAAGAAGTACAAGAAGGTCCGTGACCGCTGTCGTAAGGGCATTCCATCAGCACTGCGCGCACGAGGATGGCAGCACCTGTGTGGTGCTCACAAGTGAGCTCTCTTGTTGATTATTTGTTCTTGACACACAGGTTACTCTTGTTGATTATTTGTTCTTGACACACAGGCTTCTCTTGTTGATTATTTGTTCTTGACACACAGGTTACTCTTGTTGATTATTTGTTCTTGACACACAGGCTTCTCTTGTTGATTATTTGTTCTTGACACACAGGTTACTTTTGTTGATTATTTGTTCTTGACACACAGGCTTCTCTTGTTGATTATTTGTTCTTGACACACAGGCTTCTCTTGTTGATTATTTGTTCTTGACACACAGGCTTCTCTTGTTGATTATTTGTTCTTGACACACAGGCTTCTCTTGTTGATTATTTGCTCTTGACACACAGGCTTCTCTTGTTGATTATTTGTTCTTGACACACAGGCTTCTCTTGTTGATTATTTGCTCTTGACACACAGGCTTCTCTTGTTGATTATTTGCTCTTGACACACAGGCTTCTCTTGTTGATTATTTGTTCTTGACTCACAGGCTTCTCTTGTTGATATTAGTTCTTGATTCACTTGCTTTTCTTGCTAATCTTCAGTTCTTGACACCAGCTTCTCTTGCTGATACTTGTTCTTATTTTAAACATCTGTTGTTAAGCTCTGCTGTTGTTTCACACTCATTTCTTTCCACCATCAGACAATTAGAAAGAAACCCCGGAGCGTTTGACCAGCTTGCTGAGGCTCCTGCTGATCCCCGACTTGAAGATGACATCAGAAAAGATCTTCACCGGCAGTTTCCCCTTCATGAAATGTTCCTTCAGAAAGGAGGTCATGGGTAAGTCCCCACATGTTTCATTATCTCAGGTATGACTTACTGAAGTATGACTTCAGGACATTTTTGTGTATTTGTACACTTCATTATGTCACCCCCCCCTTGCTCTTCACCTTGCTTGAGAAGGAAAATTAAGCTTTTGTTAATCTTTTTCGTCATTTGGGAGGTTTGTAATCCGTGGGATTAAGTTTCTCATCCTTCGTTGTACATGTTTCAACATTTATTTATATTGGCTAATCGTTTGTCTATTTTAAAAGACAATCTAGAAAGCTTTTGAAGGAATCCTTTTTAACCTGTATTTATTTTTTGCCTTATTTTTGTATCTTCTGAAAATTTGCAAATATTGGAGTTCGATCCTATGTATAGATAATTTTTATGTGTTGTAAACCAAAGAGGACACTCTTGTAGTTGTTTTCCACTCGCCCTTAACTTCATTTATGATACGTAGCTCCTAGTCACACCAGCCAGGCAATGGTACAGTATAAGGTACTGGTATATCAATAGTGGCCCTTGGGTGCCAGTGTTGTGTGCTCATTATGGCTATTGAGCTGCTGCCCAGAAAAGGATATTTTATCGCACTCGATACTTTTTCCTTAAGATTTGTTAATTTTAACTCTTTCTTTTGTTTTTGTGCCTCCGTCAAACACAAAGGCCTTTGCACATATGTGAGCTATTTATATACAATTACACTGTTATGTTAATTCTAGAGTACTGTATTTGTTAATTTTCACCAGGCAAGAAGATTTGTTCCGTGTGCTGAAGGTGCATGCGCAGGTGTCACCTGATGAGTACTGCCAGGCTCATGCTCCTCTTGCCGCTGTTCTTCTCATGCAGATGCCTGCCGAACCTGCATTTTGGTGCTTAAAATCGATCTGCGATAAATACGTTCCCGGCTACTATGCAAGAGGACTGGTGAGTGGGTCATGTACTCTGTATTAAAAGGCAAAGTGAGGGCAGCAAATCAATAGTGAAGTTTGTTACAAGAGTTAGCAAGTTGTGCGAGACAGCTTACACCTTCAGTGCTTGCATATCAGTGACTACACGAGTGAAGTCTAGCTCTTTATGCCTTGCCTCTTACTCTACATACCTGGCCTCTTACTCTACATGCCTGGCTTCTTACTCTACATGCCTGGCCTCTTATTCTTCATACCTGGCATACTAATTACCCCCCTCTCAATATTAATGTGTTCATTGTATTTGTTTCTAAAGTTGTGGAAGGAATGGGCTTCAACAACCTCTTCCTTCAGTGCATTCCACTTTCTTACCACACTACAGGGGAATGAAAACTTCCTTACATCTCTTCATATCAGTTGCATATCTAGCTTCCACTGATGTCCCCTTGTCCTACCTCTTCCTAATTTAAATAGGCTTCCTAGTATGCAGTTATTATATCTCCTCTGTTTCTTCTCTCCTCTAAGATTGTGAGGCCGAGTTATCTCAACCTATCCTCATAGCTAAAGTTTCTCAATTGTGGTGTATTAGTTTAGTTGCAAACCTCTGAAATTTCTCAAGTTTCTATTTATACTTGACAAGGTGTGAGTTCTATGCTGGAGTTGCATTCTCAAGTAATGATCTCACATAGGTAGAGTGTGTGTATGGACTTGAAAGCTTTGTTTACATTCTTAGATGACATTATGTTTGCTAACTTCCCATGTGCTGCTGATGTTATCCTGTTCATATGAGCCTTTGGTGTTAGTATTGTCAACCGAGGAAGCCGGTCGGCCGGGTGGACAGCACGCTGGACTTGTGATCCTGTGGTCCCGGGTTCGATCCCGGGCGCCGGCGAGAAACAATGGGCAGAGTTTCTTTCACCCTATGCCCCTGTTACCTAGCAGTAAAATAGGTACCTGGGTGTTAGCTGTCACAGGCTGTTTCCTGGGGGTGGAGAACTGGTCGAGGACCGGGCCGCGGGGACACTAAAGCCCCGAAATCATCTCAAGATAACCTCCCAGGTCTTTTTCTATTATTGGTTCTGTCTAAGTTGCCATCTCTTTATAATATAGTTAAATCCAGGTCTCCTGTCTCCCATACCTATTTTCATTACTTTGCACTTATTTGGATTGAAGTTCAGCAGCCATTTATTTATCTGCCTACTCATGAGATTTGGTGGACTTCTTGTCGGTTGATCTGGTTTTTCTGGTTCCCTGTTCCAGGGCTCGTGTTTCGTAGGTCGTCTGCAGTGTCATAAAATTTGGCCAGCTTGTGGTTTACCACCCTCATGCCCACGATGATGATCGTCCTTCGGATGTGAAGATGACCATGACTTCAATATATCAGGTCCGAAGGTTGGTGGCTGTGTGTGTCAGATGGTGGAGGATGAGACTAATATGGGTCCGGAAGGTTCGCCCACGCACGGGACATTTGTGGGTGAGTGCTACTGGCAGAGGTGGAGGTTGCTCTAGCTTTGCATGTGGTTTTTCTGCCACACAGACCCCTGTGGTGACTTTGGTTTTCCAAGTTGGACAGTCCTGAGCAAACGACTCCCAAGTATTGGTGCTGGTGTCCAGGTCCTTGAGGGTCACATTGAGACAGTCCTTGAATTGTTTCTTCTGCCTCCCAACAGAGCATGTGCCCTGGCATAATTCTCCATACAGCAGCTGTTTAAGCAGTCGGCTGTCAGGCATTCTGACAACGTGACCTGCCCCTCTGGCCTGAGTTTTCTGTAGGAGTGTATAAACACTAGGAATACCAGCCCCTTCCAGGACCTCCGTGTCTGGGATTTTGTTCTGCCACCTGATGTGGAGTCTGCGGAGACAACTCAAGTGAAAGTGATTTAGCTGTTTAGTGTGTCTGCTGTATACAGTTCAGGTCTCTTCTGGTGTAGAGAAGGGCGAGTACCCTTGTGCCCATAATGTGGGTGAGTCTGGCACTTTTTTGGCAGTCTTTGCTAATGTGTCTTGGGCTGATATTCGAATGCTGGAGTTTTGGCAGTCAGATAGGGTCTTGGCAGCAGGTTTCTTGTGTCTGTTGCTAGTCCTCAGTGGCCTTATGTGGCCTGGAGTTGGGTGTCTCGGCCGATAGTCTCCTCTTCATCTTTATACCTGTAGTGCTTCCTTCTCCCTGGTGAGTGCCCTTCTTTCTCCTTGGGTAATTAGTTTCAATGAGCCACAAGGGGCTCCCAGGAACACCAATGTTGAATGTAATGAAACACCAATTTCTGGGTGAGCCCCGGTGATTCCCTGACACACTCCCTCTCCCAGGGCGTCGGAGGGGTTTCTAACATCATAAGAAATGGCGGGAGCAGCCGGCTGACCCGGTCTGCCTCGCTCCTCCCCACAAACGAGGGAGGGAGGTGGGGCGAACTAGCTCGCGCTAGTTTTACAAATTTTTTATCATTTATTTACATTGTTTGGGGGGAGTTCTTTTGGCTGCTTTGAGTCTGCTTTGTTTCTAACCAACTAACCGAGCAGAGGTCTGTTTTGTTTCATTGTCTTTCTGGGTGCCTTTCCTTGATGGTGGCAGACATGAATAAATTTACAGTGGTAACTCGACTTACAACTACCCCTATTTACGAATTTTTCGAGTTACGACGTAAATTTCGTCGGAAAATGCAACTCGACTTGCGACCTTCGCCTCGACTAGCAACTTTGTTGATATGCGTATGGGTTGACCACGTGGTTTCCTGGTGGCACAGCTGACTCCGCCTCGGTTTACCAGAGCCGCTCGCTTAGTGAAGATCGTGCTTGTAAAAATTTCATAATTTTTGAGTTTTTTTTTGTTTTTTGAATATAAAAGTACAGTAATTATTATATGTTATGCCATGGGTCATTTCATTACATTCAACACTGGTCTTTCCTGATGATTTTTTTTCTAGACTCTTGCATGGAATGCTTTACCAATAAACAATATGAACCCAATACAATCTCCTGATTATGATAATTCAACACCAGAATGATAGCCTGGTTAATCTAAAATAAAATGAACTATTAAATCACAAGATGGCTGATTTTTGCATATGTGGAAAACTGTTAAAGAGCTGGTCTGCTACTTGCCTCCCAAATGGGATGGCACAACAGTCCTAGAAACTCCATGAGAAGAGTGCCATGAACCATATAGATAGGTCTCGCCACTGTACTGTTGCAAGAGAGAGAGAGAGAGAGAGTCTTGGGAGAGCCACAGGATGAGGCAACAGAAGAGAAGGGCTGGAATAATGGTGAAGCTGGCCACATGAGCCTAGAGAAACATGTGTTCACTCAAAGGTCCCAACCCAGGCAGGGTGGAGAAAGTCCCCTTAACTGCAGGGAACAGAGCAAAGAACAATATGAACAAATCCACGAGGGCCGTGACGAGGATTCGAACCTGCGTCCGGGAGCATCCCAGACGCTGCCTTAATCGACTGAGCTACGACAGGGTTAAATGGGTTGAAACCGAAGTTCTACTGAACTTACTGGATCCCGTAGCCTCTCCGAGGCACAAACCCTTGTGCGGCCCTTGTGGATTTGTTCAGTTGATGCGTCACGTTAGTGTGATCTGTGTGTGTAAAGAACAAGATCTTGGGGTAAACACGGGGTGGGTAAGAGAGCGTCAGAGAGGGAAATTCTTAATTTGTGTGATGACAAAGCCTCCTGGAGGCAGTTGTTTACGTAGGAGAAGTTGCTCTTCTTCATGATAACACTTTCACATGTTGCTAGAAGTAGTAGTGTAAAGTTTTCTTTGTTTCACTTAGACATTATGATGTCATAATCTTTTCATGTTTTTGTTTGCAGGAAGCAATTCAAGTTGATGGAGACATCTTGTACAAACTCTTGAAGAAAGTATCACCTTCAGCTTATAAACATCTAGTAAGTTACATTTTCACATCTGTAAATTTCATACTTACTGGTACAGTAATAAATAAATATTACTTAATATCACTAACATTGAGCTGTGTGTGTGTAATTACCCAAGTGTAAATACCTAAGTGTAGTTACAAGATGACAGCTACACCGGTGGTGTCCCGTCTTATCACCACTCTCATATAATATTTTGAAACTTCTGATAGTTTTGGCCTCTAACACCTTCTCGGTTAACTTGTTCCAACCGTCTACCACTCTGTTTGCAAAAGAAAATTTTCTAATATTTTTCGGCACCTTTGTTTCCTCAGCTTGAATGTATGTTCTCTTGTTCGTAAAGTTGCTGGTGTCATGAATTCCTCTATGTCAATTTGGTTGATTGCTGTTAGTATTTTGTAAGTGGTGATCATATCACCTACTTTTCTTCTATCTTCTAGTTTTGGCATATTTAATGCCTTTAGAATCTCTTCTTAACTCTTATTTTTCAGTTCTGGAAGCCATTTTGTAGCATGCTGTTGCACCTTTTTCAGTTTATTTATGTGCTGCTTGAGATTTTGGCACCATACAACTGCTGCATATTCCAATTTTGGTCTCACAAAAGTCATGAACAGTTTCTTTAGTATTTCACCATCCATATAATTAAAAACAAGTCTGAAGTTGGAAAGTGACGCATGTGCTCCTCTCAAAATATTCTTTGTGTTCCTCTGGCGACAGCTTACTATCCAAACCACCCCATGTCTCGTTCTTTATGAGAGTTCTGTAATTCATTTCCACATAATTTGTAAGTTGTGTGTGGTCTATTTTCTCCTATTCCACAAACCATAATACAGTATGTCATGTATTCACATTGAATTCCATTTGCCACTTGATGCTCCAAACCCTTATTTTGTCTAGATCGATTTGAACGGCATTACAATCGTTTGCATCTCCTATCTTCCCCAGTATCGTAGCACCATTTGCAAACATGTTCATGTAATTCTGTACTTCTTCTGGTAGATCATTTCTGTAAACGATGAACATAACTAGTGCAAGAACTGAAATCTGTGATACTCTGCTAGTAATACTCCTCCAGTCAGATATGTTGTCTCTGATTACCGCCCTCATCTGTGTGTCAGGTACAATATTTTTCTTCGATGTCAAAAGTCTCCCTGTCACCCCTGCAGAGTGTTCCAGTTTCCAGAACAGCCTCTTGTGGGACTGTCAAAAGCCTTTTTTAGGTTCAGATAAACACAGTCAACCCAACCACCTCTTTCCTGTAGTATCTCTGTGGCTCTTACCATAAAAACTATCGTGTACTCACCTAGTTTTACTCGCCTAGTTGTGCTTGCGGGGGTTGAGCTTTGGGTGTTTGGTCTTGCCTCTCAACTGTCAAACAACTGGTGTACAGATTCTGGAGCCTACTGGGCTCTTATCAAATCTACATTTAAAACTGTGTATAGAGTCTGCCTGCACCACATCACTGTCTAATGCATTCCATTTGTTAACATTTTTGTCTGGCGGGGACTGATATTGCGTCCAAAATTCAAATATTTGTTGAAATTCCATTTTTTTCCCGATCATTATGGGACTAATTTTGAAATG